TATTTTCTTTAATAATGGTCCTAGCGGGCTATAATTAGATTCGTTCGATTCCGTAGGCGACAAGGAACATTTTGTATATCTCAGAATTTCGGAAAAGTGCCTAGTTTTCGAGAAAATCGAAATTTTAGTTTTTCGTAGTTCCGCCGCTCGCCGCTAGATGGCGCCACCTGTACCGTTTTGGACCGAATTCGACAAAAATTGATTTTCTGGCTTTATTAGGCATCAAAACGCATCAAACCCTAATTGAAATTTGTTTCTAAATGCCTCAGGAACCATACTACGTCGTCAAAGTGCCGAAATATTCATTTTTTTATTTTCCTTACATGCGTGTTCGGACCCTCATCTTTTAGGTTTAGTTCACCCGTTTCGCCGCTAGATGGACGCTCGCTCAATAATGATAAATCAAATAATTTAAAAAATTAATTTATTATTCATAAACTTAAAAAGATTACAAAATAAATAACTTAGGTTGGAGTTGCAGGGGTAATAAATATAGCAGGAGGTATTATACATCTCTTTGATTTAACTAAATTGGATTCTTCGTTACTTGTACCATTGGTGTTAATTAATACGTTATTAATATTAAAAGTGTTACTATTCCAATCAATGGAATTTATTAAATTATTATTATTGAAATCGTTTAGCTTCTTAAAGATTTCCATGCTAAGCATTTCAATATCACACGACGCGTTAGATTCACTGGATACACTGTCTTCCGTGTCACCAGTAATAAATATTTTATCACTTATCCAATGTTTGTTAAACTTTCGACAAGGAAAATTTGTTAATTTTTTTATACATTTTTCTGACCAACTTGATGGAGGCTGATAAGTTGTACCGTAATTTTCATTAGATTGTTCCAAAATTGTTTCTAATTTTGTTTGACAACATTTGCTTGAAACATCGACTGACGTATCATCGGAGGGCAAAGTGACGTCTACACTTTCCGATGAATAAGAATGATTACTTTCTGATAATTTACTTTCTAAATCATTGTTATTTATTTTAACATTATTGTTAGGTTCACTAACTGAACAAGCTGTACTTGGTTCTTTCATGTATTTCCCTAAAATTTCATGAAACATACGCTTTAATACAATCTTCAATGGAACATTTTTATCCGCTTCACAATCTTCTTTTATCGAATTTTGAAAATTGTCTAAGTTCTGTACTGGGTCAGGATCCTTGTCGTTAATAATTTTCCCGCAGGGTTTTGACGGAGGCAAAGCAAGAAAACTTGTGGTATCATTATCTTCCAACAGATTTGAGCAACTCTTATATATTTCTACGTCACTGACATCGGATATATCAGATTCTGTTATATTATTGTTCCACGAAAAAGAAAATTCGTTAGTATCATAAAAAATCTCATCGAACGATTGTGATAAAATTTCTTCATTACTCGATAAAAGTATTGCATCATTCAAACACTCCTTCAATCGTGAGTCTTCCGCTAAACAAAACAATTTCAGAAATAAAATTTTATGAGTTCCAATAATCTTTTGAACTTTATTTAATACAACCTATTTTTATTAAAAAAAGAAAATGTCACTCACAACTAAGCGTTGATTTTAAGTAACTGGAATCATTAATTTCCTCCATATTTTTCCAGTATAAAACAAATTTCCTGCTGAGGAGATGTCAAGTTAAATGATTACCTTTGAACGTCCTTCAAGGATTGTTATTGTGTTCAAAGGACAAATTTGTAACCGGACGTACGCATGCGCAGTAGGTCTGATACCAGATGTATAAACACTTGTGCGTTAAACATTATACATATATACTTTACCGTTACAATTAATTCTACTAATAAATTCCATTCTATTTAATCGGTATGTTTAAATAAAAAGAGTTAACTTGTGAATTTTATTTCTTATCCTCACACCATACGGATTCAATTGGTCAGAAAAACGTGATCACTGAGCCTTTTATAGATCTAAATAAGTTACATGTATACTGAAAGTTCCATTCATATATTGTTTTAGATTGGTACCAAATAACGATCAGCGTATGTAACAGGTCATTCCAGGTTAAGGGGTTAAAAGCAAATGGACGCTTGACAAGATGGTAATATATTATAGTGGTTATAGAAACAATGAGAATTCATTAAAATACGATTAAAAACTTTATTTTGGTTTGCTTCATAATTGGGAAAAATATATATAATGTTGCGTGTACCTGTAGGAACTTTGGACTACAGATTATGTCTGGGACAATTGTCGTTTAGGTAACATGCTAAATTTAAAAGAAACGAAAAATAAGAAGAATTGAACCTAGAACGTGTCGAATACGTTACCAACGAACAACTTGCGAACGAAGAAGAAAAGAAGTACCTTAAATCTATACTAAGACTAACGTTTCATTAAATCTAAATTTATACGTTGGTAACAAATGTGGTATAAAATATGGTATTCAGTAATGTAATTTACGTGCTTCCGTAAAATGAACAGAATGGCAGAAAACATTGATGAAGGCTGAATATCCGTGTGTATCTCGCATTCTGGTCATCAATTGCGATTTCGTTTTATCATAACGAATCGACTTCAATTATAAAAAAAAGAAGAAAGAAAAATAGAACGATACGAAAATGATAGGATTATAAAAACACTCAAATAATATACAACTTAGATTTGTTTAACATACAAAGCTGACCATGAAGTAAATTTTATGCATGGCACACGGTTAACCAACTTTTTAAAAATCTGACGCTGAAGAACCCTGCTAGCATGTATAAAATTATTTACAGCATCACGAGAGATACAGTTTTGTGCTTCGTTCTTCGTTATAAGCGCACGTACCAGATATTTCTGGTTTGTTCCATTTTTTATTTCTGTTTGGAAAAAGTTGGGAATTCTCGACTAGCGTACATTGTACGACATGCATTATTTAAAATCTAAAAAAAGGTATCTGATACACGAAGTTGTTACGAATGTTTATACCCAACATTAATTCCTATTACAGTAGGAATTTGTCGAACAGTTTGTCCTTTGGAAGATACACGTTAAATGCGTAATTTCAGCAGGGTTAATACTCTCTATCTGTCTCATGAGGACTCTCGATCGTTTGTCTCGTAACGAATAAAAGCAACGCGATGATATTACAGTTAAAGCAACGATCGTCTCGAATTTGAATTCTAATATTTTTCTCATCGAAGTGTCTGAAGTCTCATGTTGTCATTCATCTCGTAAATACTCGTTCTTATGAAAAAGCGCTATGAAACTTGACGCTTCTTCTTTTACCAAATAAAACTTATTCTTTACAGATCAAACATATTTGTAGAGGTCCTTAAAAATATACACTTCTCTCTTAATGTTTCTCCTCTCATTCTTATCGTACTCAATACGCATTATATTCTTGGCCATTCTTTTTTTTTTGACTAGATTCATTCTTAGTTGAATAGGTATTTAACCTAATACACCAGGAGTACGAGGTTTAGCTTAATACGTTCTGGTTCTTTAGCCGGAACATACTTCCGAGTGCTCGTCCCAAGCGGCAACCTGAAATATATGTTTCTTTAAGTAACGATATATAACTAATTGATTAATATATTCAATAACATTTATTTGTTAAGAATATAAATTAAAAAATTTAACATCTTTACTTGGCATTCACGGCTGCAATACCACTGATGACCACAACCTGCACACACAAACTGCGCTACACGTTCGTGACAACCTTGACATCGTGGTGGACTATCCCTATCCTCTCTGGCGTCTCTACCACCTGATGAAATGCGAGTTTCTCGATCTTCGATCACTGCTGATTCTTCTTCAACATCCTCCTATAAAATAACAAAGTTAATGTTTGCACGAATATTAGTACCTCATCAATGATAGTCTATCGCAATGTTCAAACTTCTATGGACTCAGATGTACTTTGTAAAACTTTGGAACATAAAAGTCGCCCATAAAAGTTTGTGAGAAAAATCTGCTACGTGTTATAAGTAACACGGCTTACCACATGAGATTGAACTGGAGTATTAATGACCGGTGTTATTGTTATTTCAGTTCGAGCCTACAAAATGGTCAATATTAGTACTATCAACGCAAAATATTAATATAATATAGGAATACTATAGGCGACTAAAATACCTTGGAAGAAGATAGGAGGTCACTAATGGAAACCGGATTAGAGCCTTGATATGTCTGCAAAAGGTGCTGGGTTGCCGCACTTTGTTGTGGCATGGTCGCGGCTGTTGGTGCATTCCTTTCTCTTTCAGGTGCGGTGAGTAATCTAGCTAAAGTAGGTGAAAAAGTAGTGGGTCTTGGAGATTGTGATTTCGTGAGAATTCCATGAAGCAACGAACCACTCTGTTGAGGTAGAGTATTTTGAGGTGCCGGTGACGGCGCAACGGGATGAAGCGTCACATCCGGATAATTTTGAGGAGTTTTTACAGGCTCACCTAACACATTAAGACATTCCATATATTAATAATCGTCGCTTTACTATAACTGACTGTATCATCAAATTATTTATAGTTGCATCAAAAAGCTAACGCTTATTTTAAGTTTCAGAATAGAATTCGTTTGCATTAATTTAATTCTGAGTACCTTGTTGCTGGCTAAATTTGGCGAACTGCACAAGCACGTCCTTGAAGCTTACGGAATTGTTAGGATCGACCGTGTTCGAGTTACTTTTACAAGAGTCCGTGCTAGATGGCCTTGAGTCAACGCTGTGCCCAGTTTCTACCATAGCTCCACCAGCTCCGAGGCCAACGTTCACAGAATTTCTCATTCTCCTACCCCTGGATTATTCAAATTCATACAATTAATTTTTAGAAATTTATAATGTACAAATAATAAACATCTTGAACAAACTAATTTAACAAAACTTAAAAATAAACATGAAGAAAATATACATGAACATATATCATATTTAATCTTGATTGTCTAAATTTAGTTTTTATATGAGTTGATTCAATTCATTTGTTTAATATAGTCAATACATAATATATTCATTTAGAATAAATTAGAAGCGACTGCAAGTACTGGAAGTAGGAAATGACAAAGCTGTTTGGTGTATTAACCTGTTGAATATAATGCAGTCAAGAGATATTTATCCGTGAATTGTTTCTCAAGTAGACGTCTGCCAGATAAGAAAAACATTTTACAGCGTATACAAACATAAGTCTCATGAGATATAATCTAATGAAACGCAAGTTTCTTAAAACAATTAAGATCGAATGACAATGAACAGATTATATATAAGCAGTAATAAATAAATTAGTGAATCTTATTTATTTCTAATAAATATTAATATCAAAATAAAAATTGACTTCATCTGGAAATGTTTGAAATCTCCAACCAAAAAGAGTTATAAATACTATACACGTCAGAGTTGGTAGCAACTGATAATTTATGATTACTTTTGTAACCGACTATTAAAAGTAATCTATGGTAATCATAATCGTTCATCAATTAATCGTTCTTAGATATACGTTCATGGGAACTTTCTTCATTGTTTTCACGTCTCTAGTACATTGTTGATGCGGGTTGTAGATGTTATGAAACCGCTTGTATTTACTGATAGTGTCATCAGTAATTACCTGCGTGGTACCGCTTCAGGATGCCTAAGTCTATAATCAGCGATGATGGATCTAACATCGACGATGGCACCTTGACGACCTTCGCCAATTTGTCTGTTTTCTGGGCTAAGCGCTTCCACCTGTTTCCGGCCATTTTCACCTCCTTGCTTGGGAGGTGTTGACTGACGTTGCGATGCTTGCTTCGTGTTCTTCTCTTTCTTAAATGCTGGCGAATCTTGCGAACTATCTTCGGGTAAATCGTCTTTCGACCCAAAACTTATTTTTTCTTTGGACAGAGGTGTCGTGTTACCGCTGCTTTCCCATTCTGGGCCAAGTGCTAAGCTCGCTGGTGGTAGAGTGTCCGCTAATTGCCCGTTGCCCTCCATGAATCCCATCACTTGCCTTCTTCTCTCGATTCTCAGGTACGCTTCCTCCTTCAGCTTTCTCATGCTCAGGATCTCGTTCCATTCCATTTCTTTGGCACGCGCTAATTCGTCCAGGGCCTGTTGATGAAGAACAATAAATAAATACCAGCTTTACTTCGATTCAGTTTTTATTTCAAATATTTTAAAACTTAACATCTACGGAGCAAAATCCATAATTTAATATAACCCCCTACATTTTTATATTCACGTATGTTCATATCTCCCAACTCAGTTTATTTAATATTAATATTCGTACCATATGAAATTTAATTAGGTTCAAACTTTGCACACATTTTTTATATATTCTTTCATGTATTATTGAGCCAACAGCGATTCATATAGTACGTCTAGTAATTATATTCTAAAAATTATGTTTCATTTTTTAATATTCCACGAATTTAGTTCTGTCTAAAAATAAAAACTCCAGCTAATCGTCATTTGACCTCTGACGCATTCCTCCTCTCATATTCTAAACCAACCAATCTCTTTGACCTGATGCTTCATGGCTAAGAAATTTCGTTAGATATACAGAGTGTGTATTTGACCCGCTGCAGTATCTCATAATAAAATGATGTACCCTTGAACCTCTACTGAATAAATTATTTAATAAATTGTTTCACGTATTTTTAATGTTTAAGGTATAAAATTTGGGGTACATTTAATATTTTGTTTGACTTTGAAGTTCAAGGACGACTCAAGGACAGAACCATGACTATAAGAATACTATTCATTAGACTCTACTATACTAGTCTATTATAATTCTAATAGTGATTGTACTGTTTATGGTATACAGATCAAATATCTGTTGCTTTAGTTTGTTTATTGAAAAATAAGAAAATATTGAAAGTTCATGTAGTTGTTAACATAATTGTTATTCGTGTCTGTACCGAGAGAACATCTGAGTAATTGTGAATTCTCACAGTACTTTGTATTTGCAAAACTTTAAAGTTGCATATTGTCGAGGTTTACCTGCACTTCCGCTCGCAGTTGGTCGGCCCTCGCGGCAAGTTCATCGGTGGTAACTTTTTCGCAGCCGACCAAAGACGAGATGTACTGTTCCCTCTGTTCGAGACAGAACTTCTTCGGCGTGGAATTGCCGTTCGACGACAACTGTCCATCCGTGGACTTCCGTTTCCTGCCACCGCCGCCACCTTCCGTTTCCGATTTCGCGCAGCGCGACGCCACCGGTTTCTGTTGTGCCGTGTCCGCGGACGAGCGGCTCTTGGCGGTCACTTCCGGTTCCGAGTCGCACTGAGGTTCCTTCTTTATCGACGAGGATCGAAGACACTCGACCGTCGCCGGAGCCGCGGCGGTCTCCTCCGGAAGTGCGGCTCCGTTCTGCTGGTTCTGGGGAACTTTCGGCGAGGCCCTCGACGTTGTGTCGTCCTCCCTCGTCTTCTCGGCCGAATCCACCTTCTTCCCGTTTCCAGCGGCACCTTCCATCGCGTGCATCTTGTTCAAACTGCAAGCAAACATTTTCCCCCTCTGGTGAATAAGCATTTCCTGTGACCTTCGGATATTTCATGTCGTTGTCCTTGTGCCACTCCGGCACAACGCTTATTTAATATTGCAATACGTCGCATTCAGTCTCCTTTGATCATTCAATGACATTGATAATTAATAGAAGAAAAGTGTACACAAAAAATTCTCAGAGAATTATGTTGAAGAACGTTCGTAACTGTTTCTGGAATATTTTCTTCCCAACTATATAGTTGGGATAGTTTGAATATATATGTTACGTCAGTGGTTACCGAGTTATTTGATCTTTTGACATTTCCAGCACCTGATATTTTTACTGTGAAGGTGAAACGTGTTTATTGTGTGGAGACGTATATTACATCTCTAGTTCCTATAATACATCTCTTTACAACCATACAACTAAATCCCTAGATTTCATGTTACATATGTACCATATGTACCTATATGTATATGTAACTGTAGATTTATTCTAGGTATCTATATCTCTAGATCCTTACTTTTATGTTTCTAAATTCCTACATCTCTACATATGTTCAAATTCCAATATCACTCCTGGTATATTTTCTAGTACCTTAATACACAAACTGAAATTTAAAAATTTCCAGATTCAAATATCAGCCAATCCAAATGTCCCTAGATCCAAAACCCTCATTCCCACCCCAATATCTCCAGATTCCAATACATTTAAATATCTCTATATCTCAGTGTTTCCAAAGTGAAATATCCTTAGATCCAAAAACCTCATTCCTACCTCAATATCTCCAGATCCCAATACATTCAAACACCTCTATATCTCAGTATTTCCAAAGTAAAATATCCCTAGTTGAAGTAATATCGAGAATAGTGTGTATTCCAGTTTGCTGGAAGATTAGTCAGAAAGGAAACATTCGCTTTCCAACAGTGACATTGATTGCTGGTTCTGGGGAACTTTCGGCGAGGCCCTCGACGTTGTGTCGTCCTCCCTCGTCTTCTCGGCCGAATCCACCTTCTTCCCGTTTCCAGCGGCACCTTCCATCGCGTGCATCTTGTTCAAACTGCAAGCAAACATTTTCCCCCTCTGGTGAATAAGCATTTCCTGTGACCTTCGGATATTTCATGTCGTTGTCCTTGTGCCACTCCGGCACAACGCTTATTTAATATTGCAATACGTCGCATTCAGTCTCCTTTGATCATTCAATGACATTGATAATTAATAGAAGAAAAGTGTACACAAAAAATTCTCAGAGAATTATGTTGAAGAACGTTCGTAACTGTTTCTGGAATATTTTCTTCCCAACTATATAGTTGGGATAGTTTGAATATATATGTTACGTCAGTGGTTACCGAGTTATTTGATCTTTTGACATTTCCAGCACCTGATATTTTTACTGTGAAGGTGAAACGTGTTTATTGTGTGGAGACGTATATTACATCTCTAGTTCCTATAATACATCTCTTTACAACCATACAACTAAATCCCTAGATTTCATGTTACATATGTACCATATGTACCTATATGTATATGTAACTGTAGATTTATTCTAGGTATCTATATCTCTAGATCCTTACTTTTATGTTTCTAAATTCCTACATCTCTACATATGTTCAAATTCCAATATCACTCCTGGTATATTTTCTAGTACCTTAATACACAAACTGAAATTTAAAAATTTCCAGATTCAAATATCAGCCAATCCAAATGTCCCTAGATCCAAAACCCTCATTCCCACCCCAATATCTCCAGATTCCAATACATTTAAATATCTCTATATCTCAGTGTTTCCAAAGTGAAATATCCTTAGATCCAAAAACCTCATTCCTACCTCAATATCTCCAGATCCCAATACATTCAAACACCTCTATATCTCAGTATTTCCAAAGTAAAATATCCCTAGTTGAAGTAATATCGAGAATAGTGTGTATTCCAGTTTGCTGGAAGATTAGTCAGAAAGGAAACATTCGCTTTCCAACAGTGACATTGATGAACCGATAAAGTGTTTGTTCGCGAAGTTTGCTCTGACCTTGCTTAGAAAAATAGTTGTCATCGTGTTCAAGGGCGTATAATGAAAGAAAAATAAAAAAGAATATGATAAGTGTATGTGTGTGTATTGTCGTCTTCATGGCGTCACGAGTGGAAATCTTTATGTCGCTGGGCGTCTGAAGCCACGGTGTAATTAGACGTGTTGCATAAAGGACTCTTAATTAAGTGCGACGAATACGACTCGCATTGCGCAATGGGAGTAAAAAATTGAAATTTTTTTAAAAAATATGACTAATTATGTACACGTGTAAAACAATATATTTAACATAAAATTCTTCCTATTAATTTTCTTTGAAAATTATTGAAATTATCTAGTATACGATATTAGGATATTTATATCTTATTTTCGGATTTTTGTATTTACTATTGAACACGAGATTAGATATTTGTGTTTTGATGTTGAATTATTTTTCTATTGCATCAATTGTATCGATACGTCATTAAAATAAAAAAGTTGTAAACATAAGGCGATCGTGAGACCTTGACATTAGTAGTCACGTAATCATGTTGCTTCGAGAATAATATTGATAGAAACCTCCTTTGCATTTATACTACGCGCAGCAGGTGTAATTTCAATTATTACGTTCATACTTTCACTCTGATTATTATGATATTATTGCCTAGTCATTATTGGTACTACTTGTTACAATTTTATTTTAAATAAAGCGCCAATTTGTACCGCATTTTGCAACATTGTAAATAGGCAAATTGTACCATAGGAATTGTACAATAGGCAAATATAAGTTTTTAAAATAAATTAGAATTAAATTAATTAATCCAAGATTTACAAATTTGAAATATAATTATTTGGGGATATGAAAATTGTTAAGTTCGAGAATTCGAATATTTTGAGGTTATATTTAGAAGAAGGCAACGCTGCACATGAGTGTACATTGCAGAATGGATCTCAAAAAGTGATCCTTTCTTCGATCGATACTGGGACACGGATGATCGCGTTGAACGTGGGGTTACTCCCGCGACGAAGATGACCCACCTACACCGTGGTCTTCCCAACGTTCACCCTCAGCAAGAGGCACGCTAACATCACGCGCACTAGAATAGAAGGTGACCACACAGCGGGGTTAACGCTTTCGCGCCTCCCATCCGCTCCGCTGCATTACTTGCAACACACAGCTTTTCCGAAGAACTGTATCCACATACAGTGCTGTGAAAAAGTATTCAAAACTTATACCACAAATAAAGGAAATAACTACTGAAATTTCTAGTGAGTTCATTCATGTGTAATTAAGATATTCAAGTTTTACAAATCTATAGAAATGATATGATTACTCATCAACAAAGCGTTAGAAAGTATTCGGAAGTTGCTGCTGTCAAGAGGACGCCATATTGGTGACTCACTTGTCCAAGGAACCTTGCAGTTAATAGAATTATTGTTAGTCCTTTACCTAACTGAAGTTTATTTTTTTTAATCCCTACATTGACCTTCATAATGTCTCTAAAAATTGTCACTAGATATCTACATAACAAAGACATTATCTCTAAACAATCTCAATATCCCTATATGTCAAACCTTATTATCCTTAGACATCCATGTCTGAATGTCCTTATATGTCAAAACCCTATTATCCCTAGACGTTTATATCGCAATATCTACACGTCAAAACTCTATTGTCCCTGGACGTCCATATCCCAACATAACTCCTTATCTCCCTATCTGAACATCTGCAACCGAATCCTCTAAAATTCCAATATCCATTAATTTTACATTTCCTGACCTAAACTTCAAAACTTACAAAAATGACTAATCTTGCATTCTACAAATTTGCATGAAAAAAACAGTTGAAGTCCAAGAGAGGTTAACAAAGAAATAAGTTATTCCTAAATTGATTAAATGAAATAGAATTGCAGCTATGAAAACGATTGAAAGTGAGAGGCAATTAACGCGAAATTCGAATTGAGCGTAAAAACTATAACAGTAGATGAAATATAGTATAGAATCAGATGAAATTCGAGGCCGACGCCTGGTGTCTCGTTTGCTACGAGAGACGCGGCGTGGACGCGCTCGTTCGCAAGAGAAGAAACAGAGAAGGGGAAATCGCGAGCGAGGAAGGGAGAGCACGGTAGAAAGAGAAGACAAAAGAGGGGGTAAACGAAGTTCGTTGCACCCGCTCGCGTTCACTGCACTTTATAGACGCGGATATAGGTTTCGCGGTACCAATTCTGAAAAGCTCTCGAACTCTTCCTCGAGTCTTCTCGATGCTTTCAATCGGAATAATAGGATTACAGCTAATTCTAGTTCTTTTAATCGGCTCGTGTGGTACCACTATTTCTCCCCTTACCAAAGGAGCAACTTCATATTTTTCTTAGAACACATCAATTACAGCAATAAAATATATAACAAACTTTTAAACTACTTCTTATTTTGCTTTTATTTTTAACCGTACAAATACGTAAGTGAGGTTATGTTAGCTTACCTTCAGAGATAAAATTCGAAGAAGCGAATTGAGACAGTAAAAAGTCTACGTTCTGAAAGTATGACTGATTTATATCTCTGTTTTTAACTGTATGAGTCATGTGTCTTATAATCTGAACGTTTCCGGGTTAGTTCATAATGTTTCTCAGTATTAAACACACCTTTTCGACTTTTTGTTTCAACAAAAACTTCATAATTAATTTAATTCATTAATGACCTTGCATTTGACATTAGCATACAGAAGTGCATCTCGACATGCACTTGCAAACAATCACGACACATATTTTACTATTATGTTTTAGTTGCGCCATTTTTTCTAGGCAGAATGTAACAGGTGGTTACCCGGTCGTATTCACTTTCGTTTTCAGTATCTGCTGGTCCGCCAATAATCAGATTACATTTGTTTAAACCACGCAAATTCGATAAATTTTGTTTTCTCGAAAATATTGCAAATATAAGTAACAATTTTCGTATAATCACTCGAAGTATTACTTACTTCATGTCATTATAACAATCATTCTCATGGTTGCCAACATTTAACACGCGTCACTCGTAACACACTTCGAAACTTTGTTAAACTGTCAAAAGTAAGTTGCTACGAAACAATGTAGTAGAAATTGGACACTAGATACGTTACACAGCACTGATCAAGTGTATTGTGTCTTTGGGTATTGTATCTTTCACGCTTTCTTTGAAAACAGCAATAGAGTTGTTAAGCCGCAGCGATAGCGAAAGCGAAGGAGAAAGCGAAACCAACTAGCAAACGGTAACTAAAATCCACTGAACGAACGCGCGTTAAAATGCAAGAACGAAGGACGTTCCGTTTCAAAGAAATAAGAACACTCAACACCGGCATAAACAATCGCACTAATTTCCATGTTAATTCAATATAACGGACGCATAAATAACGGTATACGTTGTAGGGTTAGTAGTTCTCTCTTTCCACGTGATACGCGTCAAGGAACAACGATAGGATTAATATCGATCCTATTATCGAGGTCAGTAGAAGAATACCATAGATGTTATAGATCAGTGATGGGCAACTGCACCCGCGAGGGCATGGTGCATGGATGTGCAAGAGTGCACTCGTGGCCATTCGTGGGTACAGTGACTTCGCTATATTGCCACTGACGGAGCTATAGGGTTTCTTGGAATTGGCAATATAGTAAGAGGTCTGCTTGGAATTTTGACAGTTCCAAATTTAACAATTTTTTAAATTTCCTTAAGTTGTTCAAATCTCCAAATTTTGAGATTTTATAAATTCCTCAAATCATCAAACTTCCCAAATTTTTCAATTACCAAAGTTTCTAATTTTCACCATTTCGAAATTCGCAGATTTTCATTTTGATGCTAATGAGATCTTTGGCGGGTACTGGTAACTGCCAACGACCGTAATACATATACAAAAAGCATCGAGGTTAACGAACCACTTTTCAAATAAGCATGCTACCAAAGTCAATCGTAAAATATTTTTAGTCGAAGTCCACCGGAATACGTGATTTTGTGTGGCTGCTCTAAAGTTACTTCACCCCATTCCGCAAAGAAGAGACCGAATGACACCGGAACATCAAAAATTTCTT